TGTGTACCAAGCCCATCCTCTAATCTGGCAACACATATTCAGAAGGAACAGCAGATATACAGTCCAGTTTAAGCTTAAAGTTGTTGAGATTGCAGAGCAGACAAATAATTGTACAACAGCTAGCATATTCAGATTATTTGAGATGGATGATCGAGATTGGAGAAAATCTCTGCACTGCTTAGGCAGAAACCTAAGAATAAATGTGCAAACAGAGGAATGCCTAGCAAGAGGCCGTAGCAGAAAATGAAGTTGTAAAATATGTCAATGAAACTCGCCAGAATGGATTCTCAGTTTCTCACAAATCTATCTGAAGCTTTGCCTTGAAACAAGTAAGAAAATCAAGTATTGTAGATTTTAAAGCTACCAGATGAAAGCCAACAGTGTACCAAATTTATGGAGAGGAACAATATTTTTACTTCAACAGAAGACCTACGATTTTCACAGCGTCTCCCAACAGGACTTAATTATTACACTTCACAGGCTTATAATCAAACATCAACAAAAAGAGGATCTAGATTTCCCTGCACTAAGAATCTGGATGAGTGAAAAGATGAGCAACACATGATCGATAAAGTATTGGTGAACACTACCGCTCATGAAAAATATAGATTAACTGCTGTCTTGTCATGTATGTCTGATGCAACAAAGCTTTAGCCAATGGTAATATTCAAGAGAAAAAAAAAACTCCCAATACACAACTTCCCAATAGGAATAGTCACCACATTAATGAAAAGGATAGACGGATGAGGGTCATTTGAAAATGTGGCTGATGAAGAATTGGAGTTTCCAACCAGGCAGATTTCAGAGAGAAAACAATCCACTCGTCTGGGTCATGTTCAGATCACACCTTTCCAGAGGTGTTTCTGAAATGAGATTGCAAAACAGTGATATTAGATTGATTCCCAGTGGTTTGACTGGCCTTGTTCAACCATTGGATGTCTCTCTCAACAGGTATTTCATCGATAGTATGAGAAAAAAAACTGGAACTACTCACTGCAGCAACCTGGAATTGTGCAAAGCAGAAGAGGAGCACTTAAATGGACTTTTTAAGAGGAATGGAAACCCAAAAAGCACAATCCGCCGTTACCTCCACAACAGACCACAACAAGAAGACACAAAACGACCAGACACACTAGTCACCTACCATATATCAGACACATATCAGAAATGACCACAAGATACTCAGACTCCTAGGTACCAGGGTAGCCCACAAGCCAACAAACATCCTACGACAGCTACTAACAAACGTAAAGTATGCCATACCCAAAACTAATAAAAGCAATGTAATATACAAAATACCATGCAAGGTCTGTGAGAAACATTACATAGGCCAAGCTGGAAGAAAACTGACAATAAGGAAGCACAAACATCAACTAGCTACCAAGAGATACGACCAATTCTCACTGGTCTCAATGCACATGGACAAAGAAGGACACAAATTCGACTGGGACAACACATCCATAATAGCACAAACCAAAAAGAGACATGCCAGGGAATTCCTGGAGGCTTGGCATTCCAACCGGAACTCCATCAACAAACATATTGAACTGGACCCAATATACAAACTACTGAAAAACAGAACCAGAAGTGATGCCAACCACCTCAGCAAACCAAGGCATATAAATAATAAGTGGGACAGAACACCAATGCTTCACTGGAGGTGAATTGATGACATTACCTAGCAGCGTAATGAAACATCCGCAATCAAACATACTGGTTCAGCGAGCAAGTCTAAAACCTCGTCCACAACCTGAGCTACAAATTTTCTCAAAAACTTTGAATTGGAACTACTGAATGATCAGAGTTGGGAAGACAACCACAAAGGGAAGTGCCAACATTAGCACCCAATGTGTATGGTTTGTAAAGGCCTGGTTTGAAAGCAGAATTGAGATTATCATCAAATCATTCAAGAAATAATGGATATCCAACACACTAATTGGCACAGAATATGATTACTTGTGCAACATCGTGGCTTCTGATCAAGATACTTTTGATGTTCCATATAATGCCGCCATTCAAGAAGCAGATTGAGACATTATTTATCTTTGAAAATGAAGAGGAAGGTGATATTTTTTATTCCATTTTAATTTTAATTCATGTTCAGTTCATTGCCTGCTGCTAAGTAGTAATCTTTTTCTATACTGCGGAAACCTGGTTAAAATTATAGATTTGTACTTATGGCTTTTGCTTTTGTCTAAGATAATGAGTTTGATGGAGTCTGACGACGACTCAGTTGTTAGCACTGTTGCCTCACTGCGCCAGGCACCTGGATTCAATGCCAGGCTTGGGTGAGTGTCTGTGTGGATTTGTACATCCTCCCTGTGTCTGTGTGGGTTTCCTCTGGGCTCCTCTGGTTTCTGGTTTCCTCCCACAGTCCAAAGATGTGCAGATTAGTTGGATTGGCTGTATTAAATTGTCCAGGGTTGTGCAGGCTAAGTGGGTTAGCCATGGGACATGCAGTGTTACGGGGATTGCGGAGGGAGGGGGTAGGCTGGGGTGCTTTTCAAAGAGTTGGTGCAGACTTGATGGGCCAAATTGTCTCTATCCACACCGTAGGGATTCTAGTGTACATAACTTCATATCTTTCTCCCTTGAAGTTCTTTATTTATACATAAATAAAAATTAAATAATAAAATACATTCTGGTTTCTCTTGTACTACTTTTGAGAGATGATAGGAAAAGTTTCCAATCTGACAACTCTGCATTATCAAATCCATGAAAATATTACTTGTGTAAATATTAAACCAGATCAACTTCTGTCGGCATGAGTATTAAATACTGCCTAGATAAAAAAAAATTGACCTAATTATTTAATTATTTGCTTCTGTGCAAAAACTAACTGACCACCATAGATATACATGATTTGTTGTATGTGCATACACCCTGCAGCAGAATTGCTAGCCACTCTCAATATCTTCAATTCTGCAAACAAGAGATTTAGCATACCAGTCCTTGAACGTTCCCAAAACAAAACTCATATATCAATCAAGATATATTTAGTCAGATATTCCATCTCCCATGTACATTGAAGGACAGACCCAGGAAAATGTTGAGTATTTTCTGTCTTTGGTGATCATCTCTTTCAAAAGGCTACTATCAAACAAGGAAATCCAACACCGAATCAGCTGAACTAGCTCAATCTTCTGCAACATGTTTGACAACAATGACTTCTGAAAGTCAACAAAGTATATAAAATAGTTGTTGCCACTACACTCCTATTCAACAATTACACCTCAACTGTATATCAGCAATACATACAACCACTGGAGAAAACCCAGCAGTGATGCTTCTGCCACATTCTCGAGATTCAAAGGGAGGACCATTGTACAAATGCCAGTGTCCTTCATGAAGTGGACTCTACAAACATTCAGGCAAAACTGCAAAACCAACTCCAGTGGATTGGCTGGCTAAACAGTACCGTCATTGGCAGGTCCTGTTTCTCAACTTTCAAATGGAAAATGTTCCAGGAGAGGGAAAAGAAAATACTACTAAGACATTCCGAAGCTTGACAATAATAAATGGGAGGAGCTTGCTACTAATTGTTCAAAATGGAAGCAAGTTGTCCATAAGGCTGCATCATACTTTGAGTGCAAACAATTTAATAATGAGCCAAAATGATGCTCGAGAGAGAAAAGAAAGCAAATCCTGCTTTTCAGATCACATTACCTCAGGGAATGTCCTGCTAATTCACATGATGACCTACAGCAGAAACCTGCAAATCTGAGTTGACATTATTCTTGAATCAATATGGTATTTGGCACTCATGAATCAAGCAATCCTTTAAGGAAGATTAGATTCACTTCCAAATTTGCTTGAGAGGGCAAAGTGCAACAAGAATGGGCAAAGAATGGTAGGTGTACAGAGGTGAGGAGTTTGAACACGGGAATTCAGATGATGACACCTCGAAGAATATATTCAAACAGTACGTTGGCGACCTTGAATTGGGCACAGGATCTCAGGATAAGAATGAAAAGTAGTCAATGAGAATTTAACTCAGGTGTGAAACGTGCATATATGGGCACAAGATAGAAAAGACCTGAGGTAAATCCTTGACAGTTCAATAATGACCAATACTGTTGATTCTGAAGCTCTCCTCATCATTGATCGTCTAACTTTGGTGGGGGAGGGGAACCCTGGAGAAAGGGCAGGAAAAAATTCTCGGGTGTCAATAGCCCATCTTAATTTTTGTCGTTTCGAATTTAAGATTATTTTTATTCAGATGAACGGTGATTAAATTCTTTCTCCCTTTGTGATCTGTGATATTTTGAATACAGTTTGCAACAATGACATTTAAAAACCGTTTTGGACGGTCAGTGGAGTCCAATTTTCGGAGGTGACAAATCTGTGATTTTCTTCAGGCTTGGTTTCCACACTTTCTTTGACGTTGTTCTGCAACGTCGCAAATCAAATATCCTCTGCAAACTAGAATCCCACCAATAGGGAAACCTACTTCATCTGCCCGCCCGCCCCTCAATTGCAACATTTCGATATTATTTTGCTGACATCTGTTTTCCCGAAGTCAAAGAACTGTAAGGCTGAAGTGTGCATGCAACACATATCATATTACATTATTAGATTTTTCTTTGGCTCATTGCTTCACTTAACCTACCAAATCTTGAGAGATCACAATTTGTTTTCTTGTCGATTTAAGTACAACGAGGGAGAGTACTGTTTCTCCCGATCTATACACACATGAAATGTTGGGTGAAATTAATACAATAATTGTATTAAAATGAATCTATTGTGGCTGTATGTAGATAGGTCAGTGTGACAGTGTGAAAGTCTGCGGCTCTTTTCGAGGAACTAGGTCTCTCTCGAAATACGAAAGGGAGAAATTTTAATGTGCTTGACTTGGTAGAATTGAATATGTGTAAAACAAATTCCAAAAACAAGCTGTGTGCACTAGGACCGGGGAAGTCCTTTTTGGTGGAGGAGGAGGGGGCTGGTAATTGAGTTACCGGTGGAGTTGGAGGAGGCGCTGTGGCCATCTTAAGGCAGAGCTTATCTGAGTGAGGAACAGAAGAACCAGCGAGTTGCAAGCAGTACGTTTACACACACACAGCTCTATGTATTTAACACACAGGCGCGCACAGAGGTAGAGCTACACAGACACAATAGCCGCACCGGTGGGAAGCACAGCAGCTCATAAATCTGCTCAGGTCCGCGGAGCACATCCAAACCCCAGGCACTGACTGACTAGCGCTCCAGCCTCACTGTCTTTCTTTTCACCTGGTTTATCATCAAAAGCCCGACGAAACGCGAAAGAAAGATTCATGAAGAGCGGACGCTTTTTGGTGGAGTGGGCGAGTTTGTTTAAACAGGATTTAGACTTGAGAAGACACACGCTTTATCTGCCCGGCTGTACAATTTAACACGGAAATTGAGTGCGAGGGTCTGGATTTAAGGTGTTTCTGTTAAAAAGAAAAAAACAAAATCCCCCAAAAGATGGGTCAAGCGCCGAAGTGGTGCTGGGATCTTGTCTTGTCGCTGGTGTTATTTCTAGGGGTTCTACTGCCCTTTTCGAGAACTCTGATGTACACCAACCACTGGGCTGTGAGGATAACCGGAGACAGTGAAGAGGCCAATGCAATAGCAAGTAAATACGGATACAGAAACTTGGGACAGGTAAGGTGCTTTGGCAGCAAATGTATTCTCAGCGGACATTCCGACTTGTTGTCCCTTCCATGTGGCTGATCTCAGGTTGAAGTTTGGACGTCCTGAGCAGCACGGACATGGGGCACGGGAGGGATAGCAGTTGTGACTCTCTGGGCGGAATCAATTGGATTCTGATTCAGGACGAACGATGAACTTAGTTTGCAATGGCTTGGTTTTCTGGGCGAAATGATTTTAATTGGGTTACGTTTCACACAGTTTTTTTCTCCCTTTAAAAAAAAAAAAATTTTTTAAAAAAAGCTTAAGAATGTGAGATTGAGACTTTTTTTCCCCTTAAAAGTATTCCATTGCACTTGGAAGAAGGTGAAAGATTTCCAGATGTTCTCTTCCAACCCCCCACCTCCTCAAACCCGGCTTTGAAGAGAAGAGATTTGAACCACCACCGCTCAGGTGGACGAATGCAGGTGTGGGATGTGACTGGGGCTAACGGGGCGCGGGATCCGGACAGGGAGAGCTGGCCTGGGCCGGGCCGGGCCGGGCCGGGCCTGAGCGAGCGGACACATTCAGGCCCCCCCCACGCTCCCCTCCCACTCCGAAATGATGTGCTGGAGTCGCTGGCTGTGTCTGTCTAATGTTTTTCTTTTGAAAGGGAAAAGTGTAATTCTGGAAAGCTGGGGCGGGATAAACCACTCCCAAACAGACAGCCGGACGAAGAATTCGAGGTCTAACTGACCAGGTAGGAGTGTGCGAGGGGCCGGGGCAGCTTCCTGCTGTTTCGCAACGAGCGAGCGGACTTTGAGATGGTCTCGGTCCGGGCCTGGACCCAGACAACACTCCATCAGCGCTCCGCTCCAGCCGGGCTCCCTTCTTTCCCCCTCATCTCCCACTTTAAGAAGGACGATCCTTCGGGATTTTCCACAAACGCTTTAAACATTCCGAACTACTACTTTCATGCAAGTCCGATCTGAATATCATCTGGTTAACCTTGTTCTATTGAGCCTGCCGTTGGACTGTCTCCCTTTTATCCGGCGACGCTTTGCAGCTTTGCACACAGGGCAGGTATGAAAGGGCAATGTTTCCACCGCCGCCCTTTCTACTATTTTTTAAAAAAAAAACTTGTCCTGCACATAAAACACAGGTGCCTTTTTAACATCTGAGCAGGATGCATTTCGTTTGCTCGGTAAATGTAGAACATTTAACGCGGCGTGAAGTTCTCAAAATGGTTGAGGTTAAAGCAGAGCTGTCATGTTCGAGTTGCATGATAACTCAACGCAGGCTACAAGTGTTAGGTTTTGAGAACACTCTTTTTCTCTCTCACACACACACACACACACACACACACACTTTTTCTCTGAGGAAGGGTCACCAGACCCGAAACATTAATTCTGATTTTTCCTCACAGATGCTGCCGGACCTGCTGAGCTTTTCCAGCAACTTCTGTTTTTTGGTCCTGATTTACAGCATCCGCAGTTCTTTTGGTTTCCACTTTCTTCCTCTCTTTTTGCACGTTCAAAAGGTATGTAGGTAAAATACTTACGTGGGTGGCTTAGGATTCTGCCACTGGATGTAAGCTGGGGTGTGTGGAACCTCATTCAGGAGTCTTGAGGGTTTGTGCTCAGGAAATTTGAGACTAGCAGGCCAGCGGTCGCAGATGGTTTTATGGATAATGGTTTTACGTTTGGACGAGACCTGTTTGGATGATTATTATGCAACAAGTGTGAATTTGAGAGATGAAATTACTGAATCATTAACTGTTTCATTAGAAGATACGCATCATCGCACTAATTCCTGGGACACATCAGTACAGCACTCAAAATATTTGGGCACTGGGCAAACCCATCCACAAAAACCTTACATTGCCCAACAAAATTCGCTTTCAGGTGACCAATTGTCAAGAAATTGCCCCCATGGATAGAATGGAAAGAAATGGCGAGGGGTTGCTTCCTCAAATGCGGGTTGCTTGATAGGCTTATAATAGGTCAGGGTTGGGGATGAGGGAGAGGGAGTGAGGTGTTGTGGTGTGTGGTGGGGTGGGGGTGAGGGCTGGACAGAGTAAGGGAGAGAGACCAGCATGTTGGGGACTGTTGATTATTTGAGGATGTTGAAAATTCTTCAAATTCTGGTGCTGAGAGAGTCCAAATAAGTCAAATCATATGTAGAAGATAGTGTTACTATGTAACTGCAACAGCTTTTAAAGGAAATGAATCAGAATGATAAAAGTAGTCCTTGTAAAATCGCCATCAAAAGGAGCCCTGGTATGTGTCCAGGGGGCATTGTGAACAGTGAGGAATGTTTGAGCCTCGTATCAGTGGGATGTCTACTGTCCCCGTCCATTTTCCAAACGATAGGAGAAGACACTGGTAGCTCAGCTCTTGCTTTTCAATATAGCTAATATTGATGCTGGAGCTTTTAAAATATTAAAATGTCCCAAGATGTTTCACAGCAGCAAAAACAAAATGAAATTAAGCAACATCAGGAGCTATTGGGTCAAATATTCAAACACTTAGTCAAATAAGTGATAGGTTTTAAGGAGATAAATGATCTCAGGAGGATATTCCAGATTTTATGGCCTAATCGATTTGAGGCAAATGATGGTGATTTAAAATTGGAAATGCTGAAGAGGCTAGTATTAGAGGCACATAGATAGCTCAGAGATTTGTGAGGCCTTGCATTTATATATCATCTTTCACACTACCAAAAACGCTTTACAACCTTTCAGTGTTCATGAAGTATAATTAGTATTGTAATATAGGAAACACGATAATTTGCATGCACCTAACTCGCTCAAATAGCAACAAAAACAGAACCTGCTGGTAAAGCTCATCAGGTCTAGTGGCATCTGTGGAGAGAAATCAGAATTAACATTTCAGGTCCAGTGACCCTTCTCAAACAGCAATGTGGTAAAGACCAGATAACATTTTATGTTGATTAAGGGATGCATTTTGCAAGATTGCTATGGTTGAACTCCCTACTGTTATCAGTGGTGTCATTTAAACTTGCTTAATTGTACCGACAGGCCCTCTGTTTGAAGTCTCACCTGTAAGATGACATTTCTTACAGTCTAGTACTGCTTTAGGGCTGCAATAGGTTGTCTAGCTAGATTGCTATGCTCAAATCTCTGGAGCAAGACTTGAACTCTCAACCTTTTGATATGGAAAGCGCTGACACTTCCTAAGTCTTTTTTTTTCTCTTTCATGTTTCTCTTTTTTGAAGAAAGCAGTTCTTCAAAGAATTATTTGATAGATAATAACAAATCCTTGCATATTGGCCAAGGACCATTCTTATTGCCAGTGTTTGGACAATAAATATTGGCTAGCTGTTCAAATTTGGTATCTTCAGATGCCTGTTTTGTTATTTCTATTTCTTATCTTGATCGGAGACATCCATAGCCTATTGAAAGATAACTTATGTTAATCCTGCATGAATTCTCTAAATTAGTTCAAACAATGATTGAAGTGATGAACTTAGTTTCTTTGAATTAACTGGGAAATTCACTACCTGATTGGTCACTAAACCAAATAAATCAGAAAGGCGGAGGTTCTTTGTTGAACTAGACTACCTAAACTGTAGTTTTACGAGCATTGCAATTGCCTTCAATGCTCTTGACCTTGTTAGTGTGGCATAGTAATAGTCAATGCTGGGATCTGTGGCCATCTAGTGAATAAAGAAAGGTGACAGTGGGCATCTGGTGGGGATAGTATCTGTTTTCCATTGATTTTGTTGAATTTTGTGCTAACACGTACTGTCTAGGCTCACGTGACTGTGAGAGGCACTCGAGGGTTGTTGTCAACTGGTGTACTGTGCAGAGGATGAGTCATCCATATAATTTCCTTAGACAAGATGAGATGGCCTGAAATAAAGCCTCAACATCTGTGACAGTTGAGCACAATGCTGTATACCATAAGATGTGCTTATTTGCTGTTATATTGGATGGATAGACACAGAGATATTTTTTGTCTACAAAATACACCACAAGAATATCTCTTGAGTTATCTCAGGCAGTCCTGTAAAAAGTTGCTTTTAAAAAAAAGTCTTGATTGCCTTTCTTTGGAAACTGGAAGTTTTGTGAAGTGCAATCTTGCTAATAAGTTTTATTTAAAAGTCTTTCCATGTAAATGTGCTAACATGCAATGGCCTATAGTTCCACAGGTAGCAGCCATTCAGTAGCTCAATGGAATGCTCATTTTACATGAGTTTGCTGAGACTATCCAAGCTAAGTCTGATTCTGCTCGTGTTCCATATCCACAAGTGCATTTTCAGCAGGGGTTGCTGATGCTCCTTGGCTTCATGCAACAGTTAGTTTTTCTTTTTAACCCCGTAAATATTGAGTTGCTATTGGAATTTCTTATTTATAAATGAACTAAACCAGCATGAGTGGATCGTGAATGTACGTATTCATATCGTTTTGCAGAAACATTTGGTTACAATGTAATTGTAAACTGGATATGACACAAGAATATCCAATATACTTATTTAGTATCAATATTCTTCAGTCAGCATTTTTCTTCTGAACTGAAGAGATTACCATGGATAGAATCTGCTGTTTCATACTCTGGTTCTGTCAAAACCAATATAACCGAAGTGTCTGCTGTTTACTTCAGTGAAAGACAAAAAAAAATCTCAACGGCTATATTTAATATGCATTTCCTGAAGAGTATTTGATACCTTCTGAGATGTCCTTTTTTCATAACATAAAGATTATTTATCTTCTGTGGCATTGATCTTGTGGAAAGTTTTGGATTAGATGGCTGAAATAATGGGGTGAATTGTCTTAAATTAATGCTACCAAAGACTAATTTTTAATTAGCAGCAACCTTTTTCCACAGATACCAGTCATTCATAAAGTTGTACCTTATCTGGTATTTAATCATGATCGATCGGTAATCTCAGCCACGTCGGAGAAACTCTTGATTCTCCTGATACTTTTATGATGGACCTCCAGCCATGCTCTAATCCCAAGGCTACTGTATTACTGAAATCCACATTTAATCATAAACTGCAAGCTGCTGTTA